ATAAGAAACTTAGTGGACGTCCACTTAAGTTGACAGAAGTTTTGCTCTATATATATATATATATATATATATATATATAGGGAGAGGTTCTAATAAAAACCTAGAGAACTAAAAACCAATCCTAACCCTCCAATCTATCTAATCCAATGGCCTACATTTCGATGGCAGAATTGTAAATATAGACAAATTTAATACACATCATTAATGTGAAAAGGGTAAAATTGGAACAATTCACTACATTAATGGTGGCTGGCAACATTGGAAGCTGGAGATAATGATTAAAACCAAAAATACAACACATCCTTTAATACTCTCTCTTACTATCAACGTGCTACGTCATTTCACTTCCCCATTTCTCTCTCTAACTCACTTCCCGCTCTCTGTAACTCACTTCCATCTTCTATCAAGCTTTGATCTTCCATCTTCGCATGAAGAACACAGCAACAATTCATTAAAAATGATCCTAACCATCCAAGCTTTCGCTGGAGTGAATCTGGATTCACTCCAGTGAATCTGGATTCACTCCATTGAATCTGGATTATATTGAAGCTCGATTCATTGGAGTGAATCCAGATTCACTGAATTGAATCAAGATTCACTGGACTGAAACTCGTTATTAAACAATAGCAAATCTACAAAAATAAAAAACAAAAAGAATAAGAAACTTATGGTAAAAAACAAGCTATAAAATTTTAAACCATGATAAGATTTCACATTTTACAGCAAAAAGTTACGATTTTTATGGTAAAAAACAAACACCTCACATAACTGAATCTGGATTCACTGCAGTGAATCTAGATTCACTCATGCGTTTATTTCTTCGAAATTACAGCACATGCATTTATTTCTTCAACAATTCATTAAAAACCATCCTAACCATCCAAGCTTTCGCTGGAGTGAATCTGGATTCACTCCAGTGAATCTGGATTCACTCCAGTGAATCTGGATTCACTTCCTAACCATCCAAGCATTCGCTCCAGTGAATCTGGATTCGCTCCAGTGAATCTGGATTCGCTCCAGTGAATCTGGATTCACTCCAGTGAATCTGGATTATATTGAAGAATAAGAAACTTATGCTAAAAAACAAGCTATAAAATTTTAAACAAAAAGAATAAAAAACTTATGGTAAAAAACAAGCTATAAAATTTTAAACCATGAAAAGTTTTCACCTTTTACAGCAAAAAATTACGATTTTTATGGTAAAAAACAAACACCTCACATACTGAATCTGGATTCACTGCTGTGAATCGAGATTCACTGCTGTGAATCTAGATTCACTTATGTGTGTCTTCGTTTTTCAACTGGTTTCTTCAAAAAACAAAAAACTTTTCAGACTAAAAGGTGAAATATTTCACCTTTTACAACAAAAAGCTACGATCTTTAAGATTAAAACTAAAACTTTTAGACGAAAAATCAAACAAATTTCATAAACTTACCATTAAAGCGTCAAAAATTAAAGCGTTAAAATAATTAAACGATGACAAATGTTGAAGACAATGGTTGAAGATGAAGGTTGAAGACAAAGGTTGAAGAAGACCGTGGATAGGAAGATGTTGAAGACAGAGAGAGATTTGCTGTGATTTTGGACGAAAGAGAGAGAGAGAGTTGCTGTGATTTTGGAGAGAGAGAGAGAGAGAGTTGCATGGGGAAATGGAGAACTCAACAAGAAGCATTAATTACCTCTCTTTAGTGGGCTGTTTATTTTACCTTATTACCCTTATGCAGCTTTAATCTTAGCCATTGGATGAATCTAGATCCAATGGAGATGATTGGTTTTTAGTTTTTAGTATAGTGAGGTTTTTATTTGAACATCTCCCTATATATAAAATAAAAAAAAGTTACTATTCCGGGCCGGACGTCATCGAGCCGGTCCGGACCCAGGTCTAGTCTGGATTTCCGGGCCAACCCCGGGCCGGACCGGAACCGGCCCGATCCGGGCACGGGCCGAATCCTGACCGACGGGCTTTTTGGACAACCCTACTAGCAGGCAACCACTAGCACGATGCCAAGGTCACCCACTATTTATCATTCAAATCATTTCAAAGCATGTTGCCAGCGATTATGCCATGGGCTAGAAAAGGATGAAGTTACAGTTGTCCTCCTCCTTGTCTCTGTCTTGTTCAAACTTCAAATTTAGGGACGTACGGTTTGAGTGAAGAAAGGTCTCAGAAGTAAGATCATTATTATTGCCATCTTGTACCCAGCATCTTTCTTACTTTTGGATTTTTTTACTATTAATCTGAATTTGAATTAACCTTCAACATTTTTTCTAATATGTAGTCCTGGTATTGATGATACAGCGTCTGGTGTCTGGAGTCTAAGACTAAGATATTGAACTAATTGGAGATTTATCATAACTCAATGCCATCTTCTTTTGGTTACTCAGAATTTTGGTTGGATGAAAATAGAAAAACAGTATTTTTTATTTTCACAGAGTTTTAATTTTATATCTTTTTTTGGTAACTCCTGTTTTATATTTTTGATGAGGATCTAACTAGATAGAATTATTCTAGGTTGAGATGGAATAAAGATAACTCGTCTTTCGGAGCGCAGGATTTATTACAGTATTAGCACATGTAAATAATGGGAAAAAGAGGATGATATAGGCGCTGACATCGTCAACAACTAATAACACCACGGCACGTGCCGCAAATAATCGCGTCCCCCGTGAGCCGGCCAAAATCGTTGAACGAAAATATTCAACAAAACTGTTGCTTTCACATCTATTATGGCTGTTCGTAAATAAAAAATGATAGGGGCATATCCTCAACCACATCTCTAACCATACCCCTCTCTCATTTGCTACATTGCATCGGGCCCCACATGAGATTTTAAAAATTTTAAATCCCATGTAAGACCCGGTGCACTGTAACAAATGAGAGAGGGGGTGTGGTTGAAAGTATGGTTGGGGGTGTGCCCCTAGTGCCACCCGATCGTAGGGCTGAGCACGGTTCGGTCCAAACCGAAAAAACCGACCGAACCGACCGAAATTTAACAGTTCGGTTCGGTTTTAGTTATAAGTCGGTTCGGGTCGGGTTGAAAAATTTTCAACCCGAACCGCCCGAACCGACCGCTTAACAGTTAACCCCACATTTTTTGACCCATAACTACATGCCCGACCCGTTCAGATAAAATCCCTCGAATGAAAATGATGAAACCTAAACCCTAACTCCATTCTCCAAATCTCCTCTCCATGCCTGCTGCCTGCAACCGCCACTCGCGTTCTTCCTTAAAATAGCAAACAACTCATCAACGAGGACCTCGTCTCTTCTCCCTCCGTCGCTGCCGCCACCTCGAACCCTAGCTTCTCCTTCAGAGACCTCCGATCCCTCGTCAACGAGGACGCCGCCGCCGACGAATCTGAGGGTTCTTTAGTTCACTGTCTAGGTATTGTAGTTAGTTAAATTTCTCGATCGATTCCCGTGGAATTAAATTGTTCATGGCTCTCTGTAGTTCTTTAGTTCCTTGTTTGGGACACAGCTATATGATGCAATTTTTTTAAGAATTTTCCGTGTTAGGATGGGGCTTTAGTCTGAAGATTGCTTGGATTCCGTGCTTGATTTGTTAATTGTAAAGAGTAATCTGTTGTGAATCTAAGAGAGTAGATAAAATGTTAATTAATTATTTTTTTATATTTATATTTTGGTTCATCATGTTACGATTGTTTAAGAATCAATTTTTGGCAAATAAATGATGGGTGCCTCCTTCATAGACCTCCGTCGCCGCCGCCGGCTGAGCAGAAGGCGATCGTCGTCTACTACACGAGCCTCCGCGTCGTCCGCAAGACCTTCGAGGACTGCAGAGCCGTCCAATCCATCCTTCGAGGGTTCCACATCATCCGCAATACCTTCAAGGACTGTAGTTCCTCTTTCGCAGCTCAGTCATGAATCCAAGTCTCCATTCTCTTTTGAAGTCGGCGTTTGTCGAGGGATCGAATTTCGGTAAGCTTTCAATTGAACCGACAATCACAGCTTTGGGTAAGCTTTTATTAATTTTTTATTTGTTTTTCTTTCAGATTTGGGTAAGCTATCAATTGAATCGACAATCATAGATTTGTTAGAGCTTTCATGAAAGAACACATGTAAGATTGTTATGGTTTCTGCTTTAATTTCTTGTAATTGTCATGATCTTTGCATCAACAACATCTGAAATACAGACTTTATTGAAAGTTTGATGAAGTTAGAACCGAACAAACCGAACCGAACCGCACCGAACCGATTTGCAACGGTTCGGTTCGGTTTTGAATTGTAGGCGGTTCGGTTCGGTTGTTCAAATTTTGGTAAAAACCGACCCGAACCGAACCGTGCACACCCCTACCCGATCGTAAAATTCATCAGCACACCAAAAACTTTACTTGCTCAGTACGTCAATCTCGAAAGACACGTGGTGAGCTCTCGTCAACTGACCACGCCACCCTACCAATATCCTCATTTATAAAAACCCCTCTCTTCTGTTCCAATCTCCTGAATATTTTCCCTCCAATTAATCCTTCCCATTTCCCCCCTCATTATTCTTCCATTACTTTAAATTACTTTGCAGCCCCTTTCGGTTTTCTTGAGCTGCAGTTTTCCTCCAAGATTCTCAACGATGAGATCTCTAAATGGCGGAGCCAAAATGATCTCCTCAAAACTCAAAAAGTCCTCCAAATTCCTCGACCTATTGAACTCCGACCCAAACGAGGACGACTCTCCCAGAACCAGCACCAACTCCGACCACTCAAATTACCAAACTAGCCTCGAGAACTCCCCCTACATGTCCCCCTTCATCAAATCTCCGTGACTAGCCTCGAGAACTCCCCCTACATGTCCCCCTTCATCAAATCTCCGTGGACCCAAATCGCCCCTCTCTCCGTCGACGAGCCCTCCACTGGCCTCATCGGGTCCCTGATTCGAGAAGAAGGGCACCTGTACTCAATTGCTGTTTCGGGCGAGCTTCTATACACCGGATCCGACAGTAAGAATGTTCGGGTTTGGAAAAACTGGTCGGAGTTTTCCGGGTTCAAATCCGGTAGCGGACTCGTGAAGGCGATTATCTTATCAGGTAACAAAATCTTCACGGGGCACCAGGACGGCAAGATCCGAATATGGAAAATCTGCTCGAAAGATCCGTCTTCTTACAAACGGGTCGGGTCTCTTCCGAGGTTGAAGGATTTCATCAAGAGCTCCATTAACCCGTCAAGCTACGTTCAAGTTCGTCGCCATCGAAACTCCGTCTGGAATCGACATTTCGATGCGGTTTCTTGCCTCAGTCTCGATGAAGAAGCGGGTCTTCTTTATTCGGGTTCGTGGGATAAGACGATGAAAGTTTGGCGGGTTTCGGATTCCAAGTGTTTGGAATCCGTTATCGCCCACGACGACGCAATCAATTCCGTGGCCGTTGGATTCGAAAACCTTGTGTTTAGGGCGTCGGCCGATGGCAACGGTCAAATGTGGAGGCGGGAGTTCAACGGCCGGCTGTGCGACGTGATGGTGAAAGTTCTATTGAGACAAACGACGAGCGCGGCTCTCTGCGGACGGCGCTGGGCGGTGCGCGGGGAAGAGGCCGGAGTTGTTACCTGTGGGTCCTTCGATGGTGCTGGTCAACTTTTTGGAGAGGGGCGAGCGAGCGTTTGCCCACGGTGGGCGTGCTTCCGCGGGAAAACAAGTTGGCCGTATTGTGCCTGCGCCGACGGCGGAGATGTTTGGTGATCAGTGGGTCCGCTGACAGGAGCATAAGGGTTTTGGAAGAGGATGAGGGTGTGGCGCCACGAATAGGGGTGGCTGCTGCTGACTGGGCATGTGGGGCCCATTAAGTGCTTGGCGGTGGAGAAGGGAGGGGACTGTGGGCCGGAGGGGCGGAGTTGGGTGGTCTACAGTGGGAGCCTTGATAAGTCCGTTAAGGTTTGGAGGGTGGCCGAGAGGGGGAAGGAGCCGCACGTGACGAGGACGGATCAGCACGTGATTGGCGAGTTTGAGACGAGGTACTGAGGGGTGCGCACGTGTGGGAGATTATCGGGGTATGATCAAGTGTTGTTAACTAGTTAAGTTGTAAATTATGGATTATTAAGATATGGTCAGCTGTTTGTCGACGTAGGTAAATCTGGTGATTTTGTAAAGAAAATTGTGAACTGAAAATTTGAGCGCTTGCTCTTCTGAATCACTGATGGATGCTTTATTTTTCCATAGTATAGGAGAGGTTAGTTGAAAGTTAGGTTACCAGTATGCTTGAATTGAATTATAATTAGGAGGGGGGCAAAAACAAAGAATGGCCGGTGGTTTAGAGATTTTAATAATCTTATAAGAATTTTTTTTCATGCACTTTATGTTTGATATGAAATTTTTAAGAGGGTGAACCAGCTTTTTAGAAAAAAACTACATTAACTATAGGATCACCTTATATTATCCTCTTTTATACTTAAACCTCAATAATCATATCATATACTCTCTTTAAACGTACGAGTTCGGGAAAATCTTTCCATGATCAATATTATCCTTAATTTTTTTGAATATTATGTTATTATCCTAATGTATTCTAATTATCCTATTTTCTTTGAATTGGTAATTAAATGATTTATCCTATTAATAATGAGACTTAACATGTTATTGGATAAAGGAGATACGTTTGATATAATTCAAATCCTTGACTTATTTCAGTTCGTAGAGAAATCTAAAAAAATATACTAGTCAGCACCTAAAAGTTTTCAAACTTTGTAAAAAATATCCTCCAAGTTTTTTAAATTGCAAAAAATATCCCTACAAATTCAAAATTTTATTAAAACATCTTAAAAATTATAAAATTTACTTATTTTAATTTAGTAAGAAATATAAAAAACATATGCTAGCAAGCAACTAAACGTTTTTTAACTTTGGAGAAAATATCTTATAAGTTTTAAAAATTACAAAAACACCTCTAAAAATTCAAAATTTATAAAAAACACATTGAATATTTCAAACATATAAACACATTAAAAACCGAAAAATAACAGAAAAAACCTAAAATTTATAGATTTTACAATAAACACTCTGAACATTTTACAAACTGTAAATAAAACTCTCAAAATTATAAAATTTATAAAAACCCTAATAATTTCCAACTTAACAGTACATTGAAATATAGGAATTAATAGTCTATAAACAATCTACAATCTGTAGAAAAGGTGTATAAGTTTAAAAAAATACAAAAACCTCTAAAATCTATAATTTACAAAAAAAAAACACCATAATAATTTCTAACATATAGACACTAAAATGAATATATAAAATTACTAACAACCCCTAGAAAATTAAAAATTTACAAAAAATAACATACTCCTTTTAAAAGTATAGGTTTAGGAAAAACTTTTCATGGTCAATGTTACCCATAACTTTTTTGAAAAGAACATAACTAATTAAAAATCTATTAAGTTATGAAATTTATGCAAAAACACCCTTAAAGTTTAGTACATTAAAAATTACCCCTTCAAAGGTTGAAAATTTTAATGATTTTTTTTTTATAATTTCTTAATTTCAATGTAATGTTTAATAGTTTTGTGTATTTATAAATTACAAACTTTTAGGGTGTTTTTTTTATAATTTTTAAAACTTTTGAGGTTGTTTCTCTTGTAGTTTTCTAAATTTTTATTGTATTTTTAGTGTAATGCATAGATACATCAATTAGTAATGATATTAAAGTGTAAGTCATTCTTAAGATTATTAGCTATAGTTAAGTGCACACATCACTATTCCTAGGCAGTATAGTTTATATATGTAAAAATTTTCAGACAATCTATATAGTGATTAAAAGGATTTTGTCTTTAATGTACTATATTTTATAAATTATAGTTAACGTGAACTCATTATATAATTTTGACTGTGGTCATCATAATTTTAATACATTTGATTGATTGACTGTATAGGTATATAGACTATAAATTACTTTACTTTCTCACATGAACTAATATTTGATGCTTAATAATTTGAATTATTACTTTTAAGTTTAATATAAAGATGAGCTCTAATAATATTTATTTATTTACCTACAGGATAATACAATCTCAGTTTCTATTTTTGGCTTGAGATTTATTCCATAGTTACGCGTATCAAATTAGTAACTAAAATAATAATTATTTATGCCTAAATTAGGATGATTATAGTTGATCACTCACTATGGAATATTCATGAAGATATATACCTTAATTCTCTAGCTATCTGCACTGCTCATATATATTTTATAAATTAGTTATTAATTTAACATTTTAAGTACTTTTCCTTTGTAGAAATTTCTTCTTTGACTTTTGGATTGTGTAATCACTATATTACTATTCTAGCGTAGAAATGACCTTACTCTAAATGGCTTCAAGTCAATGTTTGAGTTGAACTGAAGTATATATACTATTACTACTATGTGTATATATTTTTTAAAAAAATCATGTCAATATTTTTTAAACAGAAGAGAATATTATAAATACTGATATTATAAAAACTAAATATAGCTAATTGAGTGATTAGCAAAAGAGAACTTACTTCAGAAAAATGTGAATAATAAGATAAAGAGGAAATGTAATGACATTGCTAACAATACTACCATTAGCAAACTATAATGTAAAGTTAACCTATTTTATAGAGCCCAACTGTACTACTATAAGCATTGAGACTTCCATATATATATATACTTTATAATTTATTAAAAAGAGTTATGTAATCTTATAGAGTAAAGTTGATTTAATACTAAATAGTGATATCGTTGTAATAATATAGTTATTAGGAAAAATTCTTCATGAACCCGTATGTTCTTTACGATATATAAACTGTGCACTCCAAATTCTTGTGTCTTTTACAGAGCCAAAAAGTTTGAATGTGAGCCTCTAACATTTTGCTCTTACAACAGCAAAATCCATTTAGCAGATGTAGATATTCTAGATGATTATATGCTATATATACAATACAATTGGCCTAAGCAAGTAGTTATAATAGTATTTTTCATACACATCGTTTGAGGCAATATTTGATAAGGGCTTTGCATCAAAGAAAAAAAAATAAAATTTTATATTTAGAGCACATGGCGTAATATATCATAATCTCCCTGCTCTAATTTCGTAAGAAAATAATTCTTTATACTTTCAATTTTACTTCTATGGTATGGAGAATGAGCTATAAAATTAAATGAGAATATTAGATAATGTAAATATGAGTAAAACTACAATTACAAGTTAATGTGAATATGAGTCAAACCACAACTAAAAGTTTAATGGACATATTGTAAGTAAATTCATATGTGAATATGAGTCAAACCACAACTAAAAGTTTAATGGACATATTGTAAGTAAATTCATATGCAAAATTCCTTTACGAATTGTTAATGGACATATTGTAAGTAAATTCATATGCAAAATTCCTTTACGAATTGAATGATCACCCATCTTTTGAAGACTTCAAGTTACTAATAAATAGAGATGTTATTCTAAATTAATGTATTTATAACTCACAAATAGTAGATCACGTAATCATAGTCTGGGTTAAAGGAAACGATAACAATATTTCATTTGAGAGAGAGATTATTGAGTTGACAACCAATTACACAAAAACTTTATTTTCTTTTTATTTTTATTCTATTTTTATCAATTGTTTGGTGGGAAATTTGCAGTAAAAAGAATGAAAGAAAATTTAATTTATATTCTCTCGATCTCAATTACAATTTGAATTTTTGATTACAAAAGAAAGGAGAATGATTTGGATTCTTTCCTTTGTTTAATTCTGGGTTCTTCACGGTGGCGATGGAGTGCCTCCCTCGAATGCTCGTGTTGAGTTTACTCTCCGTTGACGATCCACACGTGTTGATTCACTAGAACAGTAAGTCCTCCTCACGATTTGATGCTGTGGAGAACGTGCAAAGAAAATTTGAAACCCTGAACGAGTTTGAAACTCTATGAAAGAGTTGATTTGATCCGAAAGTCGGTTAATCAGCCAAGGCCGAAAGCTCTCAGGACTGCTCTCAAAAGATGAATGTTGATCTCTCTTTTTTGCAGTTTTGATCTTCAAAACTCCAAATCAAAGATCCCTAAAAAGAAGCCAAAGATCTCCTCCTCACTGCCAAGTCCCAGATCCAAAAAAGCCAGCCAGAACTCAGTTGAGTTTACCCCTATTTATAAGGGATTAAGGGGTGTAACCGCCCCCTTAATTCGCTCCTAAGTGGGCTGAATGGGGTGTAACCGCCCCCTTAAACAGCTCCCCAAATTGTGGGGAAAACGGTTTTGAAACCGTTCAATTCGTGTTTTGAACGAGTCAAACGCTGAAAAATAGCATTCAGGGCCCGAACTCTATGTTTTAGACTTGAAACGCAGAGTTGGGCCTATTTTGGTGGCTGAACGCACAGGTCACACTGTGCAGAAATGAACTCTACGTTTTGAACCTGTGACGCAGAGTTGAACTCTGCATGAACTCTGCGTTTTGGGTCTGGGACGTAAAGTTGAACTCTGCATGAACTCTGTGTTTTGGGCCTGGGACGCAGAGTTGAGCTCTGCATGAACTCTGTGTTTTGAGTCTGGAACGCAGAGTTGGACTCTATACGAACTCTGCGTTTTGAGTCCACGAACTCTGCGTTTTGATGTTGTAACATAGGGATGGCCTCTGCGTTTTGAGGTGGTGATGCAGGGAGGACCTCTGTGTTTTGCTTTTGGGAGTTCAGAACGCGGCCACGAGCTATGCGTTTTGAATCTGGGCGTAGAGGTGAGCTCTACGTTTGGATTTAAAGAGACTGTCAATTTGTAGTCTCTTTTGCTAAAGCGTTACAAAGACTGTCACCTTGTAATCTTCGTCTTGGCTCCTTAAAAATATAAGAGTCGTCAGATTATAGCTTCCGATGTTGATTGTGAAGACTGTTGATTAGAGATTTTATCAGTTGTTGTGAAGGTCATCAGATTATAACCTTTATCGATCTACGTGAAAGTCTTCAAATTGTAGCCTTCTGGAAGCCGTCGAATTGTAACTTCCATCATCGATGTTTGATGAAGGATCAGCTATCTGTTGTGATTTTTAGACAGCCTACAGAATCCTCTCTACAGTTTTCGAAAGTTCGCGGTTGACTGGGACGAATTTTTGGAATACTTTGGATCTTAACTCTGATCTTGGAGCTGTTGATTCCTTGTCATAAAGGAGTTGTTCTTTGCACTCGCTTCGAAGGCACATTGGTTGAAGGGATTTGCC